TGGAAATAAAATGAGCAACATTCACTTTGTACTCAATGTACCGCAGCCCATTCATTTTCCATAGCGTCCTCTTCGTGAACTGCAAGGTAGGAATGCAGGATGGAGAAAGAAATTCAGTTCCTTTTCTCTAGTGTGACAGAGATCCTGAACCCGCATTGCTGCCTTTTCTAAAGAACTTCAAATTCAAGGGCCCTGGATTATTGCATGCTGAGGCAGGAATGAGGTGATGCAGAGCACCAAGTTCTCACATCCTTCCATCACCTTCCTGCACAGCTTCCCATTGCTTCTACCCTGTGCCCCTTTATATCAGCTCACCTCATCCTCCTTAGAGAGAAGTTGCACGTATAAAGATGATTTTCCAGAAACCTCCAAATTCCACCTCATTGCAAAAGGATAATGTTTTTTAGACGTACTTCAATCAAAGCTACAGACGCAGAAACACCTATGCTTACGTGCCTTATCACCAACACTCCTTATAAATGCAGATTTTGGTAAGGGTGGTCTAGAAGGAATACACTTTACCTTATCCTGAGCATAACTAAACTAGAGTGCAAAAAAGCATAATTCAGATTAGAATTTGACCCTTCATATGGGAATATGTTAGGTTGTTTTTTTTTTTTTTTTTTGGAAGATAATGCACTGTGGAGAAAATGGTGAAACTTATTTGGGAATGGGCTTGTTTTCTGGAAGAAAAGTCCAGGCACATGACTACTATTAAACAATTATACTATTAACACTATTAAACAATTTATAAATACTTTAGAAATATTAAAGCACAACCAAGTCCAATAAATATATTCAGATTTAAATTCCTTATAGCTAGTCACACTGGAATAATCAGTTGCTGTCTTAAAAATATATCATGTGCTTCTATGTGCTCTACCTCAAATGGATTGAAATAGAGACTTGTGGACATCCAGCTATAGAATGTTCCCATTCTTTTCACCCTTTTCAGCCCGAGAGCTCGGCGGGCAGTGAGGAAACCACAATTCTAGGTCAGCTGTGAAGCAGGCTGCAAGCCCATCCTGCGAGTGGCTGTGCTGCTCCTAGAGAAGTGGCCACGAGAGGCCATCACTCCCAGAGCCCCGTGACCAGAGCCCGCTGCTCCCAGTGACGCTGCAGGAAGAGATCAAAGTGTGAATCACGGGACCCCGATAAGGGCGCGGGGCAGCCCCGCATTCCAGGGACACGGCTTGGGCTGCTCTCATTCCTACCTTGCCGGGCTGCCGCTTTAAAGCCGCTTATCAAAGCGCAGCAGTTTCCTGATAACTTAGCACACTTTCAACATATCCCGCTGCAGTTGCAGTGCCTGAGGTTTGGTATTTTCCACCCTCTGCAGCCAGGTGTAGGTTTACTAGGCAAAGAGATGGGCATCTTCGCCCTCAGGTTCTTGTTGGCTGCAGCCAGTGTTTTGGGTGACACTGAGTCAGGCACGGTTGGCCCAGCCTGTGTGGCCCCATCCCTATGGCAAAAGCACCTTGGAGTTACTGCTAACATACACCAGCAGCTGGGTAGTCCTAAGGGGGAGTAGCATGATAAACATTTCCTCATGGGGCCAAAAGATACAAATCCCTATTGCATACAGGACTACACAAATCAAAATTAGGGAAAAAAAAAAAAAAGGCAAGCAGATGTGCCCCAAAACACTTACTATACAACTACTGAAGCAAACTGCAAACTTTGACCCTGTTTTTTCCAATTTTCATGCACTTCGTGCTAAGCCCTTTCCACAAAGCTGCAGGCAAAGCAGCAGACCTGCACGTGGGCGTCGAGGACATTAGTGACACTGTAGGAGGGAAACAGAGTGCTCTCTGTGGGATGCAGGCCCACATGCCACAGGGACCAGGGGCGGCCCCGAGGGCACGAGCACGGGATTGGTTCGACGTTCCCTTTTCTGGCAACTTGCACTGTTTGCTTTTGGTTTCCTACTGAAAGCTAGAACAAAACAAAAATAAGTCTCTGAGAAGTTTAAAGAAAACCTTAATTTAAAGACTTGATTGAGATCAATTCACAAACATCTTGCAGTTGAGCAAAAGAGCTTAGAAGGGCATGGGTTTCTTTTGGTAGAGTTTAATTACAATCTGGGATCTGGTGTAACTTGCATTTTCAGCATACATAAGAGAAACCCTCAGCAACTCCTTTGCTATCACTGTGACTCAAATTAATGCAAGGCTAAAGTCCTTTTTATCAACTCCTAGCTCTTCTATGCCAGTTATGTTCACGTCCAGCAACATCAGTTCCACTTTTTCCACCAAAACATCCTCTTAGCATTAGTAAAAGTCATTCATTGATGCAAACTGCAGAGAAAGAGCCAACCCTCTCCATCCAGGTTGAGCTCCTGCCCTCCTGAGAGCACAGCATCAAAGCCCTGGCCCTGCTCCACATCAGGCTGAGATCTAGAACTTGTAATTACTGCCACTGCAATTTCAAACAGAGCTGTGCTCATCCTACAAGGAATGGATCTTCTGTCTTAATTACAAAGCACTCATAAAATTGTCCCACCACATCCTTAGCCAATGAATCAAATTCTAAATCATATTTTGCTAATTTCTCATATAAATCAGAATACAAATATGCAAAACACGCAAAGTGGAAAGAGCCTTTTTGGCAGGCTCAATTGTTCTTTCTCCTACCAAGAACTCAGATAGCATTTTTAAACCATCCTTTGATATACTTTAAAATGGGTATTTTTTCAATCTATCAACATTTATGGACAAAAATACAAATACAATCAATACAAGTCCAATGCTATTGGACATTATGCATTCAAACAGCCTTAGAAGAGCACATATAGATCATTGTAAAAACAAATGGCACACTGCCAAACTACGGCACAGAGCAGAAGTAGGCCAGTCATCTGCTTAGAAACTGCTGTCATTAAAATCAATGATTAACATGTTGTGGAATATTTTACTTGATTCTAGTTTGAAATATAGAATAACACTGCAGTCCCTGCACAACAAGATGGGATTTAACGCTCCAGGCATGAAGCTGGTTTGTGCTTTTGTTTTCTTTTGAAAATAGAAATAAGCCACTAAATAACATGCTTTTTAAAAACCTGATAGTAATTCTCACATGGATGCATGTGGTGCATGATTAAAATACAAATTTTAATAACAATAGTTAAGTTTCAAGGAAATTATTTCTGTAATTGCTGTGTGGGCTGGCTTAAGTAGAAAGGTTTTCCTGCTAGTGATGCCATGAAAGACATGGATAAAAATGTAGATTTCATTTCCCCTTTTCATTCAAATTAGTTATTATTTATGCATTCTTAATAACTTTCAGCTTGTCACTACATTTTAAAAAGACACGAGAAAGATCAAAAAGAGAAAATGATGAAGCCTTATGTCACTTCCAGCTCCCTCATTGCCAGCTATTCTGCAAGACCTGAAAGGTGGAATCGTGCTCTGCCTGTAGAGACAGCTGCCATAGAGATGCAAATGAGGGTCACAGGAATTTCCATAAGAGACCAAATTCTTGCTTTGGGCACTGCCCCCCTCACAATAACATCTGAATCGTTGGTGGGAAAACATGATAAAACAAGCAAGTATTTTATACTTACATAAACAAATAAGTATAAAACTCATGAGGAAATGTGAAGAAGTCTGTTCCAGGCAAACTGGACTTCAAAAGGTAACTCCCAGCTCTTCAAGTTTGCCACATAAAATTTATTTTCAGACAGAAAATATAGAAATAGATAAGAAACATAGAAAAGGAAATCTAACCACCAACAATGCATTACATTTTAATATTTTACTTTCGTTTTAGGATGCTGTCAAGCATCCATAGCAAAAGATTATATATACGTTACAAATCTGAAAGTAGTGGCCACCACAAACTGTAAAACTTAGGAGAAAAAACGTTCGGATAACGGGTGAAAGGGATTTAAAAATACAAAAAAAAAAAAAAAAAATCAGCTCATTGCTGGAAGTGGCTCAACTCTCCTCTTTCATGTAATTTTTAAAACTTGTTGTGCCCTGCATACAACATACTATTTTAGTCTTTATAAAAAGAACATACACACACACAAAAAAAACTCACTGCATTTTTGTAAAGAGTCCTGAAACATATGTTTCTGTACTCTTAGTTGTACAATTTACATGAAGAATTAATGGAACAGTGTTTTCTGTATGTATACACCTCCTAAAGTGACATAGGCCTTCTCTCTTTGTACAAACCTTAATTTATTATAGAAACTCGTAGTAAGGGGAAGAGAGAAGAAAACAGAAAACCCAAAGTGCAATAAAGTATAACCTTCCATTCACATATTTTATCTTTAAACACTGTATCTCTATACCTTTGTGACAGGACATAAGCTGCCTACCAACCCAGGCAAAAGAACCTTTGCCCTAAGGAGTCATGTTAGGTAGCCTGAACTGCAGACTATCAAAACTACCAAATTGTACTACATGAAGTTTCTTCTCTTCCCCATTTTATTGCGCCTTTTGAAGGCCACCCCCCCCCCCCCCCCCTTTTTTTTTTGTTCCTCCTCCTTCCTTGTCCTTCTGAAGGATAAAGCAGTATCTTCTGCAGTGTTGCCCATCTGTGCTTGCCTGCCAGGTGCTGCTCCCAACTCTTTACACTGCATCAGGAGAGTGCCCAGCACAGGAAAACCCCAGACAGGAGTAATGGCAGTTACTTCATCTCTGAAAGACCTACTTATGCAGAGCGCTAGTTTGCTTCCAGGGGAGCAGTGCTGAACATTTGTCATCAGGACATTATATAAAGCATTCCACAGGACTTAGACAAAAGAAGGAAAAAGAAAGAAAAGCTTCAAAGAGCAATGCACTTGCTTTACTAGCACTGTGGCCAGGCTGACACGAATACAGAGGGGCTATTCTCATTAACTAAAAGGTTAATGTGTCTGAAAGAATAGCTTTAAAATTGTCTGCATAAGCAAAGACATCAGTACATGCAACAGCAAAGGACTGAATTAAAGCACCTCAACTGCACTTTCGGAGGGTTTGGAGTGGGGGGAAGCCTTAATACATGTCACTCACCTGAAAAGACATTAGGAAATGTCTCTGTAGAAGCCTGCACCCCTGAGGACTTTCTTGAGTGAGTCAAAGGCATTCTTTCCGGTTGAAACTTCTCTCTGAAGCCCCTGTGCTCCAGGTAGCCGGCAGAGCCCACCTTCTGCGCTAGCTCGCTTTTGTGATCAGATATCTCGTCGGTCCAGTCTGCCGAGCGGCTAAATAAACCCGCCAAACTAGCAGACCTCTGCTTTTTGATTGAGACCTTTTCCTTTTTGTGACAGGACTCCTGCCTCCTCGTGAAAAGCGGGCTCTGGGATGGGGAGGGAGAAGGTGAATGGTTGGGAGAACTCAGTTGCCTAGTTGTGGTTTTGATGTAACAAGGATTAATTAGGTAGGGTTTAAAGCAGCGGGAACCAAGCACCGGGCTGCCTGTTGTCCCCTCCGAGAAGGAAATGCCATTTTTCGTTTCAGTGGATAAGCCATTAAGCAGGTCATCTTGGCTGGCTGATATTGCATGTTTATCTTCCTGAGTCTCAGCAGCATGATTGCGGCCTGCATCCCAAGCACCATCCTCCGTGACCGAACCTTGCAGATCAGTCTGCACATCACTACTTTTAGCCTCAGAAACTGCTCCCGAGGCTGGAAAATGTAGTGCCAAGCCATCTATCTGAGGCCCGTTTTCTACTGTGGCTCCATTTAAATCCTCCTTTAGCTCGCTAGCTACAGCATCCACGCCGTCAGTGAGCTGTTCCTGCTCCTCAATCAATAGCTTGCGTTCCTGGGTTTTAAATAAGCCGTTTCCAGGAGAGGCTGTTCCATTTACCGCCTCTTTCAGTTCACTCTCTTTTGCACAGGAGCCCGGAATGCTTTCTGCAATTTCAGATCCCGCTGGAAGCGCCTCCTCGGTGCCTGGGCTGCTCGCTTTGTCACCGGGAGCTCCTGAAAGGAACCGTTCAAAATCTAAGGGGGCTGCTTGGGAATTAGCCATGTGTCGGCCCATTGTTTTGGTGACAAAGTCCTCGGTGCCAATGCTAATTGCCCCCTGCTGCTGCTGCAGCCTAATGGCTTGCTGGATATCGGAAAGCAAATCCTCTTGTTCAGTGGCTGAATGGAAACTGTATATATCTGTGTCGGAGCCAGAGCTGGTCCTTTGTCCATCCTGTGTCTCTGCAGCAACCGGGACGGTTTCATTCCGGATTTCAAAATGTTCAACGTCTGTGTCCGAGAGACCCCCTTCATCTGCAGAGATGCTTATATCGGGAGTTTTGGTCACGATTGAGTGAGTGCTGTCCAGCTCCCCCGGCGGCAAGGCCTGGCTTTCCAAAACATCCTCCCTCGAACTGCTATTCCCATCTTTGGCCTTGGACAGATTTTTTCTGATTCTTAAATTTGAAAATACTGAGGCCCTCGAGTCCGACTTACCTTTCTTCTTACCAGATTCACTTCCTTTTGCATGCTTCCCCAATCCCCTCCTGCTTCCCGTTACCTTCTTTGTGCCATCTGTATCCTTGGGCCCAGAGACATCCTCTCCTCCATCATGCACATCACCTGCGTTCTTCTTTAGCTTCCCATCTTGATTCCCCATGATTTTCCGCAGCACACCACCTTCGGAAATCAAGCCATGCTCCCAGATTTCCTCCTCTCGGCCTGCCGGCGAGATCCCCCCTAGCGATGGTGCGGGTTTGTTTTCAGGCGGTGGTGATGCAGGCGCAGCGAACGCTCGCCGAGCCTCTCTCCCATCTGCTAGAGCCGCCTTTTTGCATAATGTGCAGCTTGCGCCGGGCTCCGCTGGGACATGCTCAGTGCAGCACTGCGAGCTGCAGACAGCTCCTTCCAATGGCTGCTCCGCGCCGAGCCGCCGGCTTGCGGGGCTCCGGCTGCGCTCCTGCTTCTTCAGGAAAGACTCCGTGAAGAGCGTTTCCTTTATAAAAGTGACTTCTTTCTCCACGGTTTTAATTGCCTGCATGGCAAGCTCAGTTTGCTGACCTATTCATTTATAATTTCAGGACTTCAGTGTTTGAGTTCCTGGAAGAGAGAGTGGGTGGGGGGGTGGAAAAAAAGTTAAAGAAAGGTACCATAATTATGCTGCAGTTGTTCGCATACATAAACTAGTAACTTTGGAAAGAAAAATATTATGCTGCTTTAATAGTTTACAAGGTGCTTAAGGACATGTTGCTTTGACAGATTACACTGTACCTCAGGCGTTTCGTGTGTTTGCTTTCTAAAGGCCACCAAGACATGATACATAATTTTAAAAGGCAAATCATTCAGCAAGTAGGTAGAAGAGGGATAAAAAACAAAGACCTTTCTCCACAGTTTTAAAGTCATACTCAAAATTCAATGCATTATGGTAATTATACTACAAAAAAAAAAAAAACCCTCCCACAATTTGTATTCTGAGAAGGTACCTCTGCTATTATTCCCAGGAGATTCAACTCATCAATATTAAAACACATCGCCATTGTTTTCATTGATAGGAACATCTGGCATGAAACAAGACGAAACAAAAACACACAAAAATAGCACTATTCAAATGCAGCTAAAGAATAGGATGTGAGTAAAGTACTCCTCTGCCTCACTCAAAATATTTAATAATGGATGTAAACTCTGCTGCTTGATAACTGTCTTGGAAACTTATGAAACAGTTTTAATCAGTTACTTATTTTCCTTCATTTTTGATTTATAGGTATGAACACCCGTATTTCATAAAATACTTTTCCTGAACTTCCAAAAAAGTATCCCCTTCTCCCTCTAAAAGTCAAATTTAAAATATTTGAAATAACTGGGAACGCCTGCATAAGAATATTGATTTGCCAAATGGGATCATTTCACTGGTCCCATATCTTATTTTTGACCCCAACCCGAAAAAGTATCTGAGTAGATTTCTGTTTATGAGTTATAATACTTAAAGATCATCTGGTCTATCTGTTTCAACTCCTGTGAAGGTGTTTAGGTGAGGTTCTTTAGCAGCTTCCCTTTCATCAAAGATCACTTAGAAAAACACACCAATCCAGGAAATACAGCTTGTTCGTCTACCTAATTATTAATTTTGGTATCTCTTTCTTCCTATCAGCAATTTCATTTTAATTCCCTCTACCTTCAATTACATTAAAATAGGAGGGGAAAAAAAATCAACCATTCAAACTTTAAAAAATACCCAGAGACACCACCTCCCCTTTCCACTCCTTACACACACTGTTTAGCATTTTTACAAATCTGGGCTGCAGTCACTATTGAATAGTTGCCATTAAGTGAGAGGGAAAAAAATCCCACCAGCGGTAGCCTTGGTTCAGTGATTGCTCCAAGGTAAGCCATGTCCCGAGCAGGCTGTGGCTCAGCCACCAGAGGCTTCCCACCTGCTAGAGTTCCATGTGTTCAACAGACCAAGTTACTTGATGCAGGTATATATTCAGTGTTTTTTCCAGTTCTAACTAGAATCTTATGAAGGGTTCAACTGCATTTTGTTTTCATTTTATAAATAATTTATAAAAATACTAGCACAAAAACTGCAAGAGCATGTTATACTATTTTGCTTCTCGACTCCTTTCCTACTCTTGCAGATTATTACTGAACGACCTGTAGCTCCCAACAAAGTGTAAAGGTAAAATCTACCAGCAAATTAATATAGTGCTGACGTAATGTAAAGGTTCTGTTGACTGAATATATAAGAAAAATGTGGAAATGGTGTGACTTCCTAAAACATTCTCCCTTCCTTCCTTTTCTGTAAACACTTTCACAGTGCAGCATTTGTACTGCAAAACAAAAACCAAGTCAACTGCAAAGCTGGGGTAATAAGAGAGAAAAATTAAAGAACAATTTGCCTTTTTTTAAAATTACAAATTACAAAATTATAGTGATTTAAATTATTTACCTATAATGTATATTTCCTAGAAGTTTTATACAATATATCCCAATTAATGAATTCTTCAATATGCTATGCAAATGGATAAGCATGGCAATTCACTGAATAAGTAAGCTACTCAGATAGCTATTCAGTTTCTCACTCTTCAATACTAAAATAAAAAACCACCACCACAACAAATATATATATATATATAAAAGAAAAAAAAACATTTTCTGGGGAATCCCTCTGAATGTGGTATCCTAAGAAAGCAGAGATTCTGGCTACTAATTTTTCATCTTTATGGGGAAGTAGTGTCATTGTAACAGCACTACTTATATAAGAATAGTTATACATGAGGACAGAAGATCAAATAACTTACTGTTTCTTCCACATAAGGCACAGAAAATGTGTTAAAAGTGGGCATGGGACATCAGTTACTCCCAAGACTCCAAAGCAGGTATTAGAGGACAATACTCTCAAACAACACTTGCTGATAAGTTCATAGCGTAATATTAATCACACAACATTTTTTAAAAAAATCTTAATTGTACTTGTACTTTTAATTATTTAAAATATATTTTTTAAAATTACTTTTAATTACTTTTAAAGAGTAAATGCTTAAAAATACTTGTACTTTTAATTATTTTTAAAAGTTCATTGTACCTTGTTTATTCTTAATGGTCTTTTAGATTCTGAAGAAAAACATGATGTTACAAGACAGCAGAACCCAGAAGATGTTTTTCAGCAGTATAAACTGCATTTGAAAAACTCAGGACCACTTTAACATTCTATACCCCAAAAATAATAATAAAAAACTCATAGAAATTATTTATGAAGAAGAAGTACTTTCAGTGCTAAGAAGGATATTTCATTTTAAGCAGAGCCATAACTTGTTATTGCAGACCACCAACAAGCTCAAGTCAGTCACAGATCCTCCCTCCCTCCCTCCCTCCCCTAAGATTTTAAGCAACTGCTCACAAGTACCTCAAGTCAGTCACAGATCCTCCCTCCCCTAAGATTTTAAGCAGCTGCTCACAAGTATAGAGAAGAGATTATAAGCTCCATTCTGGGACATGCCTCATTTCCAAGGCTCTTGCAAAGTTTAGGTGACATTAGTCGCAAAATGCAGCTTAAAACTCACTTTTGGAGATGCCCTTTTCCTTGCCCTCTGAGTTTAACTTTCACTCAATGGTGCCTCTTTCAGGAGGGCAAACCATTGCCACATTCAGCCAGCACCCAACCCTGCCTCTCAGGGAGGCCCTGCTCCTGCTGGGAAGAGGAAGGGCTGTGGCAGCCTCATTTCCCCCACCTGAAGGCACCAGCTGAGCCAAGACCAGGTAAACCTTGAGAAGGAGAAGGAAAGGAACAGTGTTTCTCCTGTCCTTCACACTCTGGTCCAAAGGATTGCCCAAATTTTGGCACTTCTGACCTGGGCAAAGCTGGGAGAGCCCATGGTGGGAGTGCTGCATTTCCTTAGGATACAAACCCAGCCACCTTGGCAGCTTTCAGGCTTTACCACAGGTTATTCACTGCCACATTCCATTTGATTAACTTTTACAATGGTTATCCCAGTGAGGCAATGGTAATCATGTATATGGTGGCTCGAGCACTTGCTGCTATTGCAGGCCCAGCATGGTGCACCTGCGTTTGTTGGGCTCTGATCTACAGTAACATTGGGGCAAGGTTAAGGAAAAATTCCCAGAGGAGAGAAACCGTGGAAGACTGGGGCACCGGGTGGCCATGAGGAGAAGGAGAGCAGGACGCCCCTGCTGCAGGCACCCTGCAACGAGTCCTGTGTGGCTCAGAGGCTCCTCACACATAGGTTTGGGTGGGAGGGTAAAGGCACGTTGATTAACAGCGTATTTGAAGGTATAGTGGTGGTACCTTAGTGACTGGACACTGTAATCCAGACGGTGTAAGGAGCAGCTGTTCAAGCAGACACTCCCTGCCAGCCACATGTCACCAAGGCTGCACTTTCAACAGCATGTTAAGCTTGCATTTTACTGGGCATGAGAGAGGCCACACTCTCTGTTACTCTAGTTGAATTTCTATCCAGAGGCCCTGGGAAGCTTCACCAGGCCACCAACCTAACTTAAGATAATCTCCAACCCAGCTTTGCATTTCAATCCCCTCAGAAGCAGCAGGAGCTGTGTGGCAGTGATGCTGCTTGTCCCCCCTACTCAGGCCTGGGCAGCCTCTACCACATCTGACTGTGGCAGCAGCAGGAGACAGGTCCACCAGGGAGATCTTGTCCCACCTTGAAGCCTTCTGGAGCAGTCATAGCCCCAGAAGGTCTTAACTTCCTGCTAAAGATGCTCTTACATTTCCAGAGCAGCATTCAGTACTAGGGCAGGTGAAAACCATTGCCTCCTCTCATGTTCTATAGACTTGTCTCTTATGACATGATGAGCTCTAGTGGTCTCCCTTTTCCTATTGTCATAGAGAAAGCTAAAAAGAACCCAGTGATTAGGGGGAAAAAAACAAACAAACAAAACAAAACAAAAAACACAGCTCCAGCAGTATGCAGTTGGTCCTGTGTTGGCAGGAATGTAACTTAGTTTCTAGTGGATATGAGATTCTGCTATTTTTTTATTGCTTATCTGAGGAGTATGAGATCATGCCTCATTATACTGTGTTTATTTTGCCCAGGGGTCATCCAGCTTCTGAGAAACGTTTTTTTTTTAACCTATTGAAAGACAGTTCCTCCTATAAGACTTTTGAACCTAACCAGCAGTGATCAAATAAGAAGAGTTTGGCTTGCTAAGGTGATTTAATTAAGCATAAGAGAAAATGACAACTAGGTTTTTCAGATGCCTGTGTTCCACAGTTCTTAACTCCTCCTGCATTTCCCCATCTAGTGAGAACTAACATTTGAAGTTAACATATCCGAAGAGGCAGGTTCTCCAGCAATGCAATCTTTGCCAACTAATATGCTGCAGCATCCCCCCATGGTTACAAGATTTGGTTATAAGCCAAAAATCTTTGTGAAGCATTTAACCTCCTGAATTTCTCACCTAAGTGCAGCAATACATTTATTCATTATGAAACAGTGCTTTTTTGTTTAAAAACATGATCATGAACATAACAAAACAACCCCAATTTTTTTTCGTTTCCTCCCGTTTTTTCCCCATATCCCTACTGCGGGTTTATTGCAAAATAGACTTTTCAGTATAAG